TGAAACAATGGTGGCAACTAATGCTGTGTAAATTTGCATTTCCAAAACCACAGAAAATGTTTCCTTTTTCAAGATCTTCTGGAAGGAAAGCTGCATGAGAGAAAGCAAAAGAGAGTAAAGTATAGAAGCTCCAAGGGTGCACAGAAAGCCAATGATGTATTTCCCCTTAGCAACACCAGATGGCGTTTCTGAATCATCATTTACCGCAATCAGAGCAGCAGATAATGAGAGGATGATCACAGAGTTGAGGATTAGGGCAGTGAACTTCTGAGAATTGATAAAGTAAGAGAAAACTGCATTAGCAGCTAACTGGGTGGCACAAATTAGGGAATATGTAGAGGCTGAGAGGTACAGGAGCCCTACAGAGTACAACATGTTGTCACCAGCAATAACTGCTCCAAGAAAAAAGTAGACCAAACCAAGAGTTATAACGGAAGGTGAGGTAGGAAGAGCTGAGTCTTCCTTTTTGGAAGGAAGAAGAAAAAGTGGGATGAAAAGAATTGGGAAGCCAGCAGTCTGAACGAGTGTGGCCATCCATTTACTATTTCCACCTTGATCATAGTAAAATCTACCTAGAAGAACTGCAGCAGCCTGGCCAGCAAGAAGGAAAAAGATATTGATTACTACCAATAGCCACCATTTCCAGCGCTTGAGTTTCAGAAGTGGTGATTGGATTGTTAAATTTTCCTCCTTTTTGTTCAGAATCGGTTCTTGATTATCTGTAATTGGATATAGAATAAAATGTTAAGGCTGTCACTTATGGAAGAATAAATGAATATATTTAAAATCCATTTAACTGCACAATATCCTTGCATCAAGGCAGATACTAATCATTCAAAAATTTGATGCTTTTATCCCACAAGGCTTATAAAAGCAAAACAATCTTCAAATACATAATGTTTAAGTTAGTGTAAATCTAACAAACCAATAAGACAGATTTGAATTCTTAAAGCTTCCTGGATTGAATATCAAGTATGGCAGTCTCATTCAACAATAATGGTGTGCCTCACATAACCATCACAGGAACTAAAATGGCATCATATTGCAAAAATACACCTATCATTACTTGTTAGAAACATTTATCTTCATATCTTTTGCTGCAGAAATACAATTTCAGCTGCAGCACAAACAGAACTCAGATGCTACAAGAAACAAAGAATTACAGGAAAGCAAGCTCAAGTGCTCAAAAAAATCAGTACTACGATGCCATTTTAGTAGTAGAAAAATAAGATCATTTCAGAAGCATGATTGCATAAAATGGCTTGGTAGAAATATAAGATAATTTCAGGAGCATAATTGCATAAAATGGCATGGCGAACAAACATAGAGACATTCCAGAACCATAAAAGCTAATGTGTAGAAAAGTAATTGCAACCAATTCAAGTTCCAAACTCATTACTGGCAGAAGAAAAGGGAGTGGCTTGCCTTTAATAATTCTACATCACTACACCAACATAAATAAGCCCTTCTCATATTAGAGATTCATCAAAAATCCATCATCATCAATCCATATAATCACAAAAATAGAAGAAACATGTAAAGATGATTAAGGGTCGGAACAGGAAGCCCATTATTTCGTTTCTCATTTGCTTGTGCAAATTGAATCAAGTGAAAATCGAAACTTGATAGGAAAGACATAATAAGAATTAGCAGAAGCAGATGGGGAATACAGGGAATCTAACAATCACAACAGCCTCAGAAATTGGAGTTTCAACAATTATTAAACACTAGAGATAGATTCCGATGAGAAACCAGTATAATTACTACTGTTCAGAAAGAAGAAGGATAAACCCAGATGAGAAAGGTAAGGAATGCAAAACCTGGCATAGTGTTCATGGTCCCGTGAGAAGCCGAGCGGAGGAAGGAAGTACCTGCATTCAACTATTAACTCTGTTTTAGAGCCTCCAATGTAGAATGAAGGTTAAATGCTAATTTTGGTCCCTCAATTTTATTGAGTTGCATTTTTTTGGTCCTAAAACTATTTTTTGTAATTTTTTTATCCCTCAACTCTAAAAAATGCACAATTTTGATCCTTGCCATTAACTCCATTCATGTGACATTTTTATATTTTTTTGATGACATGGATAATACAACTAGAAAAAATGATGGCATAGATAATCCAATTAGAAAAAATGATGACATGGATAAATAAAATACCACATCAAATAAATTTTTTATTTTTAATAAAAAAATAAAAAAAAAACTCTTAGCCTATCTTCTTTCCCCTCTTTCTTTCTCTTTCTTCCTCCTCTTACTGTTGATTCCTCTTGCTGATTGAACCCAGTAAAGCTAGGATCCATAGAACCTTCTACCCCTCTTGCGTTCTCTTTCTTCCTCCTCCAACTATGACCCTCCGAACCTTTTTCCCCTTCTTGCTTTCTCTTTCTTCCTCCTCCGGCTACTGGGTTCGTTTGAACCCAATTCTGGGTTCCACGGAACCAAGCAATCTGGGTTCGGCTGAACCCAGATCTGAGTTCCACGAAACCCAACAATCTAGGTTCTGTTGAACCTAGATATGGGTTTTGCAAAACCCAACGATTTGGGTTAAACAAACTCAATTCTAGGTTCCACGAAACCTAGCGATCTGGGTTCGTTTGAACCCAGTTCTTGGTTCCATGGAACCCATCAACATGGGTTCAAGGTACCTAAATTTTTTAGTTTTCAAACCCATGTTTATAGATTTTTTTTGTTTAGTAACTCTAGCAATTTCTATGCATATATTGAACCCTTTTGTTTGATAGATTTTTGTGGTTGTGGGATGGCAATTTAGTCTTATGAATGTTGCAAAATTTTGTTTACATGTTTTGGTTTGGCTATTTTTCTTGTGAGTATGTGATCATTAAGCTAGATTGAAGTAATATGAATTTTTAAGGTTTTGATTTGGTTTTGTTGTAGGTTAATCATTGGTGTCAAAAAAGAGAGAAATTTATTAAATTTTGGTTTTGATTTTATTGTTAGATTTCATTTTGAGTTTGTGCAATCAAAAAGATTATGTTGGTTTAGTATAAGTTTAATTATAATTAATAATTTTAATTATTTAAATTAATGAGTGTTTAATCTTAATACT